GCGGAGCGGTGCTGAAAGCCTATGCTGGCCGAGTGACCGGCCGACAGCCTGCTTCTGACAGCTGGGCAGAGCCAGCCGTGATCTTACGGCTTGCTCCAGCCACTTGCAGTGAGATCAGCGTCCCTGGTTACCTGCTAGCCGGGGACACTGATCTCAAAACAGCTAACTCCTGGCGCCCCAGGAGTCTCCTGCTCCCGGCCGCCAAGTAGAGAAACACTGCTGAGTCTCTATTGGGCAGAGCTAGCCGTCACTGCTAGCTCCGCACAATCGTTTGCTATTTACTTTTTTAACTTTTTCACTCTTTTTCGGCCGACCCGAAGCCACACGAAGCAAGCCGATGTACGGCTGAAATTAGCCGTACCAGCCTGAAGTGAATAGCCGAACAGTGTTCGGCTCCCTTCACTTCAGATCGGTCATTCACTCGGCTGCCTTCGGCAGCTTCGTGAATAGACCCCTATGTCTCTCACATTCTCTGTACACAGTTTCCCCCAATTTTACTGGTGTAACCAGAATACATTGGCTTGTGTTCATCTTAAGACTGCAAATTATGTAATGTAGCTAAAAAAAACAAAACAAAGGGACCTGTGGTGAGTAATTCAAAGTTTCATATTTTCAAAAGTCATATTAGCATCTGGCAGGATACTTTTACTAAATTGCTATATTCCCAGTAGATGTCACTAAGTAATATAATATAATTATTCTTAGTTCTAGTCTGGCAACGGTGGTTTGTCAAATTTAGATCCTTAACAGCTACCCAAATCTCTTTTGTATCTTTTATTTTATAGCCAAATTTGTTAACTTCTCTTACAATACCTATGCAAAATTCCAATAATCCTAAACCAAACCTACACTGCATATAATGAAAAAATGCATAAGCAGAGTTACCTTCAGTGAAAACTGTGTGTTATGAGGATCAGTGGATCCAGCGATATAGCCAACTGGATTTATATGCAGACCTTTATTTTCCTTGGGTGAGTTTAGCTTGGCCTTGCCCTCCTGCCTTCTAAGCCTTCCTAATTCTCTTTCAATGTAAAGAATGTCCTCACTGACCAATAAAAAGACTAAGGGTGCAAGGCTGGCTATTAAAGGAAAGGTTCAGATTTGCGTTCTTTATTTCTGGAGGTAACATCTAGATGTTTATGGGTTTTTTCAGTTAAATTGCAGTTTATAATGCTAGGTGATAAGTGTTAAAAGTGCAGTTTCGCTTAGAATAGTAAACTCAATCTCACTGCATGTTTTCTCTGTCTTTCCAGACGTCAATGGTATGGACCTGTTTGCGGTAGCAGTACACGAGTTTGGCCATGCAATTGGCCTTGCTCATATTTCTGATATGGAATCAATAATGAGACCTTATTATCAAGGACCAGTGGGTGACCCTCTGAAGTATAACCTACCTTATGATGACAAAGTTAGGATATGGCAACTCTATGGTAAGTCTTCTATAAATAAATATTTTGCTTGCAACGTTAAAGTGCACTAATAGCGTTAACAATGTTAAAGTGCACCAATATCATTATTATTAGTAACAGCAAACATAGAACACAAGAGAATTAATTTTTTAAAGGCACTTTATGGGTACACAACAGCCCCACTAACTAATGAGTGTCTTCCCACATCCTTTCATGTAATGACCTTTAAACTGGTCAGTGACAGACAACAAATAGTGTAGCTCCCTATTGTCCCTCATTTGGAGCAACAGTCCCTCTTATGGAACCTATCTGTACCTCTTTCCCCCTGTGTTAACCCTCTTTTTGTTCCCATGTAAAGACCTTTTTTTAAAAAAACATTACTGTTTAACTACTGAATGTGTTATAGTAAACCTAGCCTTATCCAAAATCTAAGATGATTGTATCTGTTTTTTGAAGTAGTAGATTAAAAAGCACTTGTGAGTTTAGCCAGTCATCTTTTACATGAATTCTTCATGGGCTAGGTAACTGGAGAGGTGCAGTAGAGGTGTGCCTTTTGCCTGCATACTTTGCGCTAAAAGGTATTCCTCTTTCTCACTGAAGAAAGCCAGGAAGTATAAAATAATATTAATAAAAATAATACGAGTTAAAAGAAGCTACAAAGCAAATGCCATGCTTATATAAAAAGAGTAGATAAAAAGCTGTATGCAAAAAATATAACAAAAGAGTCTGCGCTAAGTTAAAAAATTGTTGGGTGCGGCTGCAATGCCTTTCTGCTTCTGGCTTTACAAAAGTGCATTGGAATAGCACTGTATGTTTAGGCAATTTTGTTAAAGTAATGCACTTACTAATTAAGTGTAGGATATCAAAAGTCCAAAACCAAGTTTCCAGCTGATCCATTTCTTTGACTACAGCTGTCGGTCCGTTCCACTTGATGAAGGGGAGCAGCATCGTAGACTTGATATGTTGTGTGTTGTCAATGGGACTTTGTTCCTGCAAAACTAAAGTCTGATGAGTTTTACTGCTAATCCATAGTGTAATTAAATTAACCTCACTGTATCTAGATTTTCTTTTTCTATACCCTTCCCACTTTCATTCTTTCCTAGCATACACATTCAACAAAAAATTTATTTAGATTGCATTTAATTGAATTTAAAGCATTTATAACAATGGCCTATACTCATACGCGTTTAAGAAAATTATATCCTTGACATTGATTTAACTTTATTGTGTAATCTATTGTTTCATGCTAGCTACCAGATAAGACTTAGAGCAGCTTAAAAATGGAACTTGATCTAGGATTACTGAAAAACTGTTTTGTATTGAAACATATTGCTCCCTTTCATTTCAGACATTTCTGAGATGCTCCTTTAAATGAGTATATATTTATACATGAATGTTAAAAATATAAACCAAATGTATAATTGATGATTTGAGGCCCTTTTATGTTATCTTTGGGAGACTTAGATATAATAGATATTGCATCTACAAAATATATGTAAGCAACAAATATACCATTTGCCTCGATCCTAGTTCTTTTCACATCAAAGTCAGGAGCTGCTTGTAGGGTCAGATCCTTAGCTGGAAAACATTGTTCTAGAAAATCCAATTATTGTGTGAACTTATTAGTTTTTCAGTTTATGTCTGGGTGCAGTGTTTGTGAAATTAGTTTTTGAGGAAGATGCTGTGTCTTATTTTCTGTTCCAGTGTCTCACATGGCCTCTAATCCTTCACCCTCTCTCACCCCAGGAGTCCGCGAATCTGTGTCCCCCACAGCAAAGCCAGAGGTAAATGGAGATGAAGATCATCCATTTCTACCTGATCTGCCAGAGAACCGTTCTACCATCCAGTAAGAAGTCATTTGTTACAGACACATGGCTGTGTATATGTGATAAATGTCTACAGTGTTTTCATAATGTATCTCATTATAGCCATAAGTCAGAGAGCAATGTGCTAAATGCAGTGACCTATAGCAAGCCAACAAAAAGTCATTCAACCAACCTAAACTGCTGTTTTTCATTTAACTATACTAAATTAATGTTGTTTGGATGTTATGGGCTGCTATCCACAGTGCATATTGCACTTTTACTTTATTATACCTAAATAAATTATGATAAATAGTCCCAGAAAGGGTTAGGCATGACAAAAATGGGTGTTATATACCAAAACTTGGTCAAATTTCCAACTTTATATACATTTAAAATTTGTGTGACCCTCATATCTAAAAAAAAAACTGTTTTCCCTGTTGAGTCCTTGATATGCAGCAATAAAACTTGGTACGGAAAAGTTTTTGACCCTTTAAGAATCATGTTCCCATAACAGTATCATTTTTAATTAGTTTTTTTTTTTGTTCAGCTTCAGTGGCAGTGCTTTATGATGATTAGCGCAAATTATTTTAACACTTTCCTAGGAGAAACATGTTGGATACCATGGCTAACTTCTCACTCAGCAAATAACTGTTGTCTGAACCTCCATCTTCAAAAGTTTAGGTTGCTGACACAGATGTATGTAGATAAGGGTGTCTGACTTCTCTAATACTTTCCTAATATGCATACTTGTTTCAGGTTAGCGACCCAAACTATTGATGCCAGAAGGTTACCATAAGAGCCAGATAACTATCATTTTCAGAAGCAGGTCAGCAGGCCAGCCCCCATATTTCTTTAAAATGTTTATTTTAAATGCTGTTGCTGAAGCATTGAATAATTGGCTATAAAAATGAATAGGCCACGCTACAGAAAAGAATCCTATCATATGCGCACATAAAGCATATTTTCACTTTCTAGTGCATACATTATTTTTTCAAGAATGCAAACGTTCTTAAATCATAAAGATGTTAAGGTAGAACAAAATGCTGCTTTCGATATATATCACAAACTGAAAATTAAGTCATTTTTAAGGTGACACTATAGGTACATTTATGGGCCATTTTATGATATTATCATAGAAACAATTACAGCAATACAATGATTCCCGTTCCATTTTATGATACAGTAATGCAGTATGTCTGTGTATATGTACATAAATAGGATGGATGATAACTATCGTGTTATGCTCTTATAATCAAATAGATGAAAATTTTGACTGCAAGCAATACAGCAATTTCATACATCAGTTAACTATGACAATAAATCCAAATGTTGCAACTTCAGAAATATAAGGAGAGACTCTGCAATTTTGACAGCAATACCATTGGAGATACTGAAATCAGCTGGTTAGATTTTTTTTTAAGCAATGGCCTATTGACCTTTTGGATAGGTTTTAAAACAACCTTACAGTTACCTATATGCTTCTAGGAATAGGAATACATATAGGCACCCATAAACCTAAGAATCCTACTGCCCTTTACCTGTCAGAAATTTTGCAGTACTTGTGTTACAGGAAATATTACTAGGGTGCCTGCTCTTAAATGGTTGTGTTTAAAATTCGAACTGTTACCAAATACTTCTTCATTTGGGTACATTTTAAAAAAAGAAAACTAAAGATAAACTTTTTTTGGCTTTAGTCCCCTTTTGCATCAAATGAGTACATTTACTAGTATACTCCTGTGACCCAAAGTCAGCACCTAGCGGGCATATGTCAGAAAAAGATTCTGACAATATTGCCGGGATCCACCCCGCTGCCTGATTGACAGCTGGCTCTGCCTCTCTAGAGCCAGAGCCAGCTGTGCCTGTCTCCTCCCATATGTCCCTCTAATGAGCTCTGGAGAAGAATGTAAGTGCTGAGAAGAGCACATTTTACTTCTCCTTCAAATAACTAGAGATTTTTACTGATGCCTGCTTTATATATATTGTGTTATTGTTGAAACTGTTATTATGTACAGGAATCAAATGAACCCCTCTGAAGATATCATACATACTTCCTGGGTACCTGTATCTCTGGCTGAGAACCATCAACTATTTTAAAAAAACATTTCAGAGTTTAAAATTATTCTGAACACCAATCACTATGTAATCTTTAGTAGAGCCCTAAGGTAATTGCCTCTGTATGTGACACGCACGAAGTTATACAAATTGATTTATTACAGATCCTTGGGGTAATGTTTGCAGAAAATGAGAATATGTTTTCCCTTTCTCTGATATTTTCTCATAACTATGCTGAAAGTTGCCATGCCTTTGCTTCCTAAATAAAATATTTCACACCTGCACAGCAAAGAATCATTCCATGTAGAAATCCATTCCATTGTATAGAAAATTAATACAATGGTTATCATGCAATCTTTACAACATGCTTGGACATCCTTATGACAAATATTAGGGACTTTTATCACTATTCATTTGTTTTTGCCCCTACTCTAACAGAATTATCTTACTTGATCACTGGCAAAAACATAGTTAGACTCAAAGTAAAAGGAAAAAGCAAAGATGTACACACTGGTTACACAACTATAATAAGATTAGATGACAAGTAAAGATTCACACTGAAGTTGTCAGGCAAGACAGTTCAGATTATGTTTTTGTATCTCAAACACAACTCACACTTCTCATCAATTTTCCAAACATTTTCATTCTTCATGTGAATCGTTGCACGGATGATCCTTCTGTCTTTTGAGCTTATCTGCCTTCCTGGTGACTGAAATGAGATAATAAATGCAGGCACTGCACAATGCTTGCAATTGAAAATAAGTATTTACATTGTGCGGCCTCAAGCTTGGCTCTTTCTTCCATTTATGACTGAACCCACAGTGGAAAGCTGTCACAGTGGAAATACTGCAAGACTCTGAAGCAAATGTCTCTTTGGTGTCAGAAAATATTGACCATTACATAATTTAGTTATCTGTTTTTGTTCCTTTTTAATAGACCAAGAAAGGATGAGCCTGACAGATGTAACACACATTTCGATGCAGTGGCTCAGATCCGAGGAGAAGCGTTCTTTTTTAAAGGTAGGATATGTGCGTTCTTTGTTCAGTAATCACAGCTATAACATTTTACTCTTTTTTTTTTTTTTTTACAGATGTAGAAAGATAAGAATGTCTACTCATTTAGCTCTTTTCATATTTCTCTATCAGCTGGATGCCCCAGACATGGAATTTCTTCTGTAATCAGTTTATACTTGTGATTTTGTAACATATCCAGAAATTTTAGGTCATCGGTATTGCCCTTTTGCTGGTGACAGTCATATACTCTTTTTTTGTGCTATACAGTCTGAGCACTTTTACAGATCATTGTTCATTAGACAGTGGGCAGTCTACATTGGTTGCAAGGGCAGTCCATAAACCATGTCGGCTGAGCTCTAACCCCTATGAAGAATGTTTGAGTCTTCCCTCATTCATGTCATGCATTTTAGTTCAGGAGACCTTTCATGGCTGTTACAACACATAGAAAATGAGCATATATGAGACTTAAGTACCTTTTGTATTTAACAGATAATGTATCATTTCCAAATCATACATTTTTAAATATGATGCATTACAATATCAAAATGAATGATCAAAAAAACAACTAAAACAGATTCCTGCAGTACAGTCAGTCAAAACTTACTGTGTTCATCTTGGAACAGAAAGCGCCCCGTAACTGGAGGTATTTAAAAATGATCTCAATAATTGAGAAATTACAATATATTTTGGTGTGCAATTGGATTGGCAGTCTTACATTTAATCTGCTTCACATACCTGAGCACAGAACACTATCTGACCATTCTATTTGAATCCTTGCGAATGATGAGTGTATTACAGTACTGCTTTTATGCATGCACCTCCATCTTTCTCCTGAAGAAATCCACAAAACGCATTCAGAACCCAGAACAACTTTAACCCTTTCACTGCCAGGCCCTGCACTTTTAACCTCAGCTGGCCAGACCATTTTTGCAATTTGTACCTTTTTTAATTTTCAACTGCAGGCTTCAGATAAATGATCCGTAGTACATGATATGTAGCCCTGTACCCCCTTTTCCACTTACAGAGCTAGGTTATTTTTCTTTTAAATAAATATTAATGTATTTTAATGGTATCTATCTACCAGTAGCTGCCTCATTTCCCACCCTCGGCTTATATTCGGGTCAATACTTTTTCCCAGTTTTTTTGGCTAAAATTAGGTACCTCGAGTATATACGGTAATTGTATTATGAGGAGATGGCATTATAGTCACTGGTTCAAATTTTGCTTTGAGCCACTAAGCTACAACCTTAACTGGGTCGCAAACATTGTGGGCCATGATAAACCAGGAACATCTCTATACTTACAAATAGAAAATGGAGGGAACAAATGCAGATATAGCAACAATGATGTTATTATACTGCACAAAAGTTATCTCTATCACTAGTTTAGAATCCTAAAAAACTGTGATACATGAATCCTAACGTTTTGGTGAGAAAGGTGGACATCTTTTAAAGTATTAGCGCAAAAGACACAAGCCTGCCAAACTCCTGGTTATGTGGTCCATAAATAAAAATAAATAGATAGAATAGAAATAAAACATAAACAACTATTGGTGAAACCTACAAGTCCTTAATTTTTCTTGATGATGATGAATTCATAATATAACAGTTATATATAACAGTTATATTAACAGAATAACAGTTTTGGCAGTTAAATAGAACAGGTACTGTCAATGAAGGGCAAAAATACTAGACACACAAAGTATCCCCAAGATCTAGCAAGAGTTGTACATGTAGGCATAGAACCTCTAGGCCCAAGCTTTAATTTCACAGAGCTTACATCTTCAAAAATTACTTTGAAATGAGAGGTAGTGCCCTGCTCCTGGTGAGATATTTTCCTGACTGTCATGTAAGGGGGGCTTTAAGGGTTTCCCTACATGGTGCAATTCTGCCCCAATCCAAAGCTTAGTGTGACAGCTGGTGAATGGTTAGGTCGTGAAGGGGTTCCAAACATTGGAATTGCTTGTTATAGGAAACAAAGCATTCTTAGCTATTAAACCACTCAGCCAAGTCACAAAGTAATGTTACGCTGGGTCTAAGTTGGTTTAAAGATGGTCAGATGTCTTACCGCTCTAATTTCTGGTAAGATGTCTCAGCATTACCATCAAAAGGTGGAACCTATGTATACTTAATAACCTTTCCCTTTATTAGGATATGCATGGCTAGTCTCCTGTGTAGAAAAAAAACCTTGTGTATCAGCTTCAATTTTCTCTTTGTAAGCTGAAGCAAACAGAGCCTAACCTTCTGTTTCTTCTTGCGCTACTTCATAAAGTAACTGAAGGTAAATTATTGCAACAGTGTAATTCACTGGAAAAGTAGGTTCCTGGGCACCATTAAACCATCTTGGGATTTGTGGCATAGAAGAGTCACTGAATTGGAGACAATATTTCTAGCTCTACAAAATTCCCAAATGAGTAAGTTACTTTTAGGCCATCTGTTCCTTATGTATGCAAGTTCTCCTTATCTGAGCTGTAACATACTGCAAATTGCCTCGTAAACGTTCTTTTTTTCCCTGAGATTTGTCGTAAGCTCCGTTATAGGGAGTCACTAGGAATTTTCATATTCTGGACAGGAGAGTATTGTATTTTAAAAGACATACTGTAAGTTGTATTTCCATTTTCACAACCATTGATCAGCCATACATAACCTAATGAAACTCTAGGATATCACAAAACATATAAGATGTTTCTAGTGCAACATTTGTATTAATTTCCAGAGCTCATATTGTATGTAGAATAAAGGAAGGTATCATATCACCTAAAATGATTTAAAGGAGAACTATGGGGTCGGTGTTTTTCCCCATAGTTCTCCTTAGGGTAACAGGAGGGCACAAACTAGCGTCCTCCCGTTACCCTAAGCTCAGTATACCGCGAGCTACAGCTCGCGGTATACTGAGACGCTGCAGCCGAAGCGGATCATCGCCACTAACGAAAATTCGTATTTCGTACGAATCCGAATTGAGTTCAGTTACGAATTACGAAAATACGAAATAACGGATATTCCGGAACGAAACAGAACAAATTTTTTTACGGCGCACAAGTTTACAGCTTACCAATCCTTAGATGTGGTGACCACCCAGTGATTCTGGCAGTAACACACTTAACACACTAGGACAATAACACTCACCCACCCTTCTGCATCAGTAGAACAGAAACAAGATAGGACCCTCTCCTTTTCTCTGTAACATAGAGGGATATGGTGCTGTAATCCTAAATTCAATAGCAATAACTGAGAACACAATAACTAATAACACTCAGCACAGGGATCTTGGGAAGTTAACAGAGTAAAAATTTGCCCATAGCGTGGCTTATATGGACTTCTAAAATGTGTGTGGATGCAAACAAATTACTCTGGCTGTCTGGTTTAGGACAAAACAAATATGCAGTTAGAAGCTTCAGAAAAGGAGTATAGTACAGTCTGTGTATATGTATATAAATAGGATGGATGGTAACTATCGTGTTATGCTTTTAAAATAAAATAGATTAAAATTTTGGCTGCAAGCAATACAGCAATTTCATACATCAGTTAACTATGACAATAAATCCAAATGTTGCAACTTCAGAAATATAAGGAGAGACTCTGCAATTTTGGACCAGGATATAAGACCAGGACACATATGTCCAGGTCTTATATCCCCCTCACATTTTTAGTTTAGAGACTTCCAGCCCACTTGTAGGGAAGGTAAACTTCTATAAGTGGCTTCACCATGGTATAAAATATTTACAAAATCCAGCAGGAGAGTGCAACTTCTTTGTAATGGCTTCTAGCAAGTAGGGCTTTGTTTGGATATGTAGTAACAATGACTTTTAAGGTACACACTCAAATACAGTCTTATCTATAAAAGTACAACACAGCATATTCCGAAAAGTGTCTAAGGTTTGAAGGATGAGATTAATTAAACAGAGGAGTCTCTGTTAAGGCACTATTGGAGTATATAAAACATCAATAAATATTTCACAACATAATACATCAATGTATAGTTCACTCCTTAAAGTTTATTGTCTTACATAAAAGTATTTTGAAGTTAGCCTCACCTTACAACAATTGGGTCTCTAAGCTATTAATTCATGTCTTAGAGTACTGATATAAATAAAAATGGGGCTGTAATGCACAGGTACAGCCAGACTTGTGGCACTGGAGTTAAATGTCCATTGGATCGAGGTAAATATGCATCTGTGGAAAGAGATGGTGGGTTAGAATAGGTTAGGGAAAGGGACAAAAAGGATAAGTGCACTTCGTTTTAAAGTCCAGTTATCCTTTTAAGCTCAACTCCAGCCAAACTTTAATTTGTTTGGTACAGAATGGGGAAAGGTTAGAACTTCTTTGGGGATATTTTCTTTATTCTTTATTTAGAAACATGAGAAGTAGGTAAAAGAGTTCAAAATAATACATAGAGCAAAAATATACAAGAGGTCACAAAGAACATCAATAAAGGGACTTACACAACTAAAATTCCAGGAAGGAAGGGGAGCAAATAGACAGTTCAGTACCACAAGGATCCCCAACCCCTACCGCTGCACCCAATATCCTGTCTCGATCACCAGTGCAAAATAGCAACCTCTGTCATGAAGAGGAAAAACTATTACACTGCAGAAGGGGAATAACCAACACCCTCCTGGGGATTTTTGTCTTCTGACACCAAGATAGAAAATAAGCAGATTCTTCAACAGGGGGGCACAGACAAATAAATAAACATTTTTACAAAATAAAGTAGGTAATTGTCAAAGCTCTATTTGGTTATTACTTTATTTGTGCCCATTTGGAAGACCTCCACACTTCATATTTGGTCACCAGGGTTTTCTTTATAACACAGTAGAACATGAAGCCCTAACAATCCATTTTTATGCAGCCATAAACACTTTTGTTCAGTCACAATGATAACCACAAACCTGACTTGACAGAATTGCCAGTTAGTATATTTTTGGTTTTTATACCTTATAAATAGATATTTATTTACGGTTAGATACTAGCACCCCAATTCCAACCTGACATCCTCTGGTATACATGCTGCCTATACCTTATTAAATTTCTGCAAGTTGCATTATTCATCTAGGAGTTACATGACAACTATTTCCTGCATGACTACCAGCCAATATTGCAGATATGATTACTAGTTTGTACATAAAATTTGCCTTTTGCTTTTTAGGGAAGTATTTCTGGAGACTTACGCGAAATAAGCATTTGGTCTCCCTCCAACCTGCTCAGATCCATCGTTTCTGGAGAGGGCTTCCTCTGAACATGGATAGCGTAGATGCAATATACGAGCGGACCACAGACCATAAAATTGTCTTCTTCAAGGGTAAGTGTAATAATATATTCCCTTTCACACATGATAAATGTTTTTATTGTTTGTTTTTCAATTACAGAAAGTACAGAAGGAAACAAAGAAAAAAAGTACAACACATCCAGAATTATAAGTGCACATCTTGGTCTATTGTCTACATTCAGAGAAAACACCTCTCACATTTCCCAAATTCTATGAAATCTGATAAACTTATCTTGCATGTCAACCTATAGCTTAGTCACGTACTAAAGTGTTTCATCCAATGGGAACAGAAAGTATTGCAGTGAGATTCCATTTTATTGCAGTCAGCAAAAGCATAGAACACATTAATGAGCACTACAAATGCCTGTTGTCATGTTTTTCAGGGAAAGCATGTCTGGGGATCTCATGCATTATAACATGTTTTTTAGTAAGTAAGTTGTGTAACCTAGTAGCAGAATGGGATGTATCATATGGGTACTACATCTTAACCAGTTTGTCTCAAGGGGGCATAACCGTGTCTAATAAGTCCTCAGCACCTCATACCATTCTTCTTTCAGCAGGGAGAGATGTCATGCTGTTATCATGATTTAGCTCTAACATCGGGGATCTCTTGTGTGTTCATTAGTAGGGCATTCAATTTGGAGGTTATTTTTATAAGCTTTTTCTGAAGTGGTTCTAAGAAAGATGCTTCTTCTCAGTTTAAATTGCCTTCATGCTTCATGTTGGAGAAATTGCACCTTGTTTGAATATCACATATTTATCTCCTAATTGCAGATAATATTGGAAGGAAGAACCATCATAATGTATATGCTTTATATCAAGCATATATCTGTGTGTAGCAAGTCACCAACTTTTGCTTGGGTACCAAACATGGGTTTTGTCCAAATTTGGTGACATTTGATTGTGACACATGGGTGCCTGAAGTGTAATTAATGTTTGCAATGCTTCCAGTGTATAGTGAAAATAACTAGGGATGTCCCGATACTGGGCATTTTCACGAGTACTTGTACTCGTGAAAATGCCCCGATTCTTAAGGCCGATACCGGCCTTTAAATTTTTTAAGACGTTCGGCTGCCTAAATTCCTGCGCTTGCTGGGGATTTCAAGCAGCCTGCTGGGGACCTGAGACAGCTGTCTTTGACAGTGCCTGTCTGGCCCCAAATCTCCTCCTCCTCTTTCCTGGGGCCCCCAGAGACCGGCACAGCACCGGACAGCCCTGGAGCCCTGCACCCTCCTGCAGAGACCAGCAGAGCACCGGGCTGATTTATTATGTGACTGGGCTGATTTATTATGTGGCTGTGCTAGCTGCCTTATCTCTCACGGAGGGGGAAGGGAACAGAGGAAGACAAGCTCGGGCTGTCTATTGTGCCTTGAGATCTCCTGAGCAATCATGCTGTAAAAATACGGGGATAGCTGTGGACAGGACTTACTCCGACCCAGATAGGCATCAGTGGACCAAGGTAAGACGGGCCAGTTCTATGGATCAGATTGGGGAATCCAACCTGTAGATCCGCAGCCGATGTGACACAAGTCCCAGCATGGACCCTGCAGTCTGTAAATGCTGAGACTTGGAGTTCTACAACTGCATGTTATCTAAAATTGGAAATTGGAAATTTGGGATGAATCTTGCATTAGCACCCCTCCCTATGATGAGTTGGAATTAAGACAATGCTATTGTTATTTCAAATGGGTTTTGTGCTGATTGGATGCCATGTACAGAGTATGTGACATGTTTAATGTATGGAAAGTTGCCAGTGTTTTCCTGTATGTGCTCTGGATAGAGATGCCTGTAGACTCCAGTGTAGATCTGATCCATGTGTTTATGATACTTGGCGAGTCCATACAGGTCAGTGTGACAGATCTCTAGCATGGCCTCTCTGTACACTGTCATGTGTGTTCCTCAGTGTATACACTGCATTCTGATCATACTTGCAAATGGAAACCTTAACTATGCTATTAATACAGTCTTAATGACTCACCCAGCAAGTTTAAATGACAGTAATAATTAAACTTACCATGCAGTTAATATGACATGTCAGCTTAGCCTTAACTGGAGCCAATGTCACCATCATCTTATCATGCAGGTTATCACATTATAATAGGGAACGTCCAACTATTAACGTCCAACTGTCCCAATACCAATACTAGTACCTAAAATCATCAGTCTGTATTGGTTTTTTTTTAAATTTCACATGTCCGTTTAAGAAAAAGTATCGGTAATTGGTATTGACAAGTACATGAGGCACAGTACTTGTACTTGTACTTGGTCTTGAAAAAGTGGTATCGGGACATCCCTAAAAATAACATTAAAAATGCAAGACAAAATATAAATGAAATCATCATCTGTTTATCTAAATATGATATGTGTTGTATACATGCAAATATAAAACACCACACTAAAGAGACCCTGTCACCAGTCTATTATTTTAACAACAATCTTCCCTAGGGACCGAATATGTCAGTTTTACATATATTGGATGTCTAACAAATAATATGTTTGAAACACTGGCTGTGTAACAAGATATCTGGTTGATGTTGTGGCTATCTGGGCATATGCCTTTTTAAGCTGTAATGGCGGTATTGTATACTATCAATAATCGAATATATACTTTTATCCTATTTATTTATGTACAATACATTTTGCTAAAATGTATCCATGCATTGGTCTCATAACTCTCTTTAAATCCCTATTTTGTTTGTGTTAATTTCGTATGTTACTTTATTGGGGTGAGAGGTGATTTTGGGAAGCCATTGTCGAGGCCATTCACAAAAGTTTTTTCTGTTCTAGAATAGGAAATGGTTAGACCTTCGGTATACACCCTTGTGGAAAAATGCCAATGAAATAAGAGGAAATCTCACCAAAGTGAGGAGAGATCTAACCTTTGACAGTTGTCACCATAAGCATTTTTGCCACTGTGAAATGTTGCCTTACCTCCTCCAAAGGTTACAGCTTTTTTAATCAGCTTTTTCATTCAGTTTCTTTCTGGATGACAAATGTCATCAGAACAGGAAAGTAAAGTAATCCAGGATTGAAAAAAATTAATCCTTGCATTTGGACTACCCCCACACTGCAAGGGTTAAGTCCGTGTTTTGTCTAGGGGCGAAAATAAAGAAGAAATACTCATCCGATCCATGGTCCCACCTGACTGCTAAACTGGTCCCCATAGCCTCTTCTCCCCCGGGCTCCAGCGGTCTAAGGACCTGTGACGTCAACAAGTCTAATGCAGGTCCATTACATGCAAGTACACTGAGGGACATACCACAACCAGAGCGGAGGAGAAGGACCGATGACCAAGGATCGGGCGAGTATTTCATCTTTATTTTCACCCCTATACCAAAACAAGCACCTCACCCTTGCAGTGTGGGTGTAGCTCCACTACAAGGGTTAATTTCTAAAAATCCTGTTCTTCTTCAAGGCAAATCTCCCCAGTGGGGACACAGGTATCATTAAAACCAAACAGGGATTGTAATACTAGTCATACACATTTCATTTTCTTTCAGTCAGCTTGCAGGCTAAAGGGGAGAAAATCAATAGATTCCATCAAATACGTTATACAGCGTGGATGGAGGAATTTCCACTGCCGGCTATTGTATGCACACAGCTGCAGCAAAGCTCAGTCGATTTTGAAATAGAATTTTGTGGTGCTGACAGGGCTACCTACAGCTTCAATTTCGGCCAATTCAGCAGGAAGTCTGAATTCAAGCCATGTATGGCCAACAAATCTTTCTCTAGTCTTTAACTACTTGCTTTCTGGAGCAATTTCATAATTTATGCACATATAAAATCTGAATTTATGGCTAGAAAACAGTTTAAAACTGTTGGAAATGCAATAGCATATACTGATATACTTGTGTCATTTGTATTTTGAGCTGTAGATGGCAGTGTAATGCAATGTTAGTCTCTATGTGCATGCTTCATCTATAATACACAGAAAGTTGTTATTTCTCTAAATGTTTTTTTCATAATGCTGTAATCATACATGTATACAATGTTTTTCTAAGCAAGTAAAACTTAATTCAGCATTCCTCAAGATCTCAGTGCTTTATCTAAACACATAACCAACAGGTTATGGGCCCAGGCACTAAACAGAACACTGCAAGTCAACATAAGCCGCATCCAAGCTACTGAAAGATGGCAAGCAGTTCAGATAGGAAGTTTGCATTAACAAAGCTCAACAATGCCAACTACCAGCTATGGAAGTTCAAGCTTGAAATGTTGCTAAGCAAAGACAACTATGCTGTTGAGAAGGGCTGTTGGAAATACAACAGAATATACTGATATACTTATACTTTGAGCTGTAGATGGCAGAGTATTGCAATGTTAGTCTCTATGTGCATGCTTATCTATGATACACAGGAAGTTGTTGTTTTTTCTCTATATGTTTTCCTCATAATGTTGTATGCATACATGTAATGTTCTTCTAAGCAAGTAAAACCTAATTCAGCATTCCTCAAGATCTCAGTGCTTCATCTAAACACATAACCAACAAAAAAAACCCCAAACAATTATATATTTTCTGAAAGCAGAGACCCTATAGAATAAAAAAATGGTAGTTATCATTTTTTATGTTGCACGATATTTGCGCAAATGTTTATCAAACCAGTATTTGTAGGATAAAATACACTAAAATAAATGTAGTGCACAGAAACTGAATATAATACTCACTTTTTTTGAGATGGGGACATGTTGGGTAAATAGATACCAAACACATCAAGCCTTAAATTTGCGAGCGCCCGTGAAATTGCAAAAAAAAAACTACCATACTCAAAATATGTAACAGATCTGCTTCATCAGCTTCTTCTCTGGCTAGAGCAGCCGGAGAAATTAAACACTGAAACCGGAGGTGATGTAAAACACGTCACTTCTGCTTTCAGTAATCAGAGGAGCAATCAGCTGCTGGAAGCGTGGACAGTGAACAGACCTGTCGTGCCATTCCAGGGCGGCAGAGGGGGGGGGGAGCCGATACCGTACAGCTCTGTTGCTGCCAGATTGCTTGTATGTGATCAGCCATCGCCGGCTTTTTAAAACTGCACCAAGATGCAGCAGCCGTGATCTTGGTATAACTGCTTCAGGATGTATTTACATGCGGCGGTCCTGTAGAAGTTAATTTACATAATGGATGGTGGGCTATACGTTCATCTACAATACATAATCCTTACAATCTGTATATTTACAAAGCACCTCAATGTTTCCTCCAACGTTGTTATAGAATTGTTTTATGGACTAAATCTCAATTAATTTAAAACCGTTTTCCACTCTCTCTACCCCTCTGTTTTAGGTGACCGTTATTGGGTGTTCAAAGACAATAATGTGGAAGAAGGATATCCCCGGCCCATCACAGACTTTGGATTGCCCCCAGGGGGTGTGGATGCTGCCTTCTCTTGGTCTCACAATGATAAAACATATTTGTTTAAAGAAAATCTTTTCTGGTGTTTCAATGAGCGTGAGCATAGAATGGATGATGGCTATCCGATGGAGACTACTCTCTGGAAGGGGATCCCCACTGCTATGGATGATGCTATGGCTTGGTCAGATGGTGAGTGCATAGTTATATACAGTAGATCTGCCATAATAACACAATAATGTTTGCTTAACCACTTGCTGACCGGGGTGTTTACACCCCCTTCCTGTCCAGGCCGTTTTTCAGTATTCAGCGCTGCGGTACTTTGACTGACATTTATGCCGTCATGCAACGCTGTACTGAAATGAATTTTATACCATTTTTTGGGGACAGATAGAGCTTTCTTTTGGTGGTATTTAATCACCACTGCGGGTTTTATTTTTTACTATATAATGAAAAAAGTACCGAAAATTGCTAAAAAACTGTTTTCCCTACGTTATGTTATAAAACAATTATTATTACCCACATTTTTGCAAAATATAAAAGACGGGGTCACATCGGGTAAATAGACACCAAACACTTTTTTTTTTCACTTAACGTTATTGCTATCACATAGGGGACTAAGGGGTCTTTAAGACCCCTAATGTCACCTAGGGAACCCCAGAGAAGCTGATGAAGCAAACACCTGCTTCACCACCTTCTCTCCGGTTTCTGTACCGGGAAGTGACAGAGGAATGCGGAAGTGATGTAATACATATCACTTCCTGCATTCCATAGAGGAGGAGGAGATCAAACGGAGATCATGTACTGAGCTCCGTTTGATCTCCGGCCGCAAAGCTGCTGTGCTGGTCCCGGGCTCACACCGGGCACAGCGGATGCTTATTACAAGCAATCGGGCATCTCCACAGACGCCCGAACGCTTGTACGTAAACAGCCACTGCTAGCTGTTTACAGTGTGCCGGGCACGAGCGGGGCGGGATGGGACGTTTAAAAACGCCTACCCGCATTCAAGAAGCCGCTGTCCGGCCGTTTAATTACAACGGCCGGGCAGCAGGTGGTTAAAGAACTATGAGGTGAGTGATTTCCACTCCTCCTCATAGTTAGAGCCAACCTGTGACAAAGAAGCTATCACAGGTCGGCTCTATCAATAGGGAAGTGAGCAGAAACATACAGTACATAGCCCGCTATATACTGAGCTTTGGGTCACAGAAGGAGGTTAGTATATGTCTTCCTTTGACCCTAAAGAGAACTATGGGGAAAAACACTTACCCCATAGTTCTCCTTTAAGCTAAAGCTCCTTTTCCACCACTTCTGGTGTCTATTTTCTCAATAGACACAAATATATTTTTAAGTATTACAAAAATCTATTCAACAACCTATACACTGTTTCTAACATTTGTATTAAAAACATAGGTTTTTTATGCATACATTTGTTAATTCCTGAAGCCACACTGCCACACCAAGACATCTCATCCATCCATCATCATGCGACAATGCACGAAAAGAGGATTTCCATTTTTTTTTTCTATGCAGCACGTTCCCACCTGTACAGTGAGACTTTGGGAAAAGATGCATGTGCTTCTTTTGGTGCTACATAGTGTGTTGTGGGCCGAAAAGACTTCAATGGAAACACATGAAAACCACACGTACATGCATTTAGCGTATTTTGGGTATATTTTTGTGTATACCAGTCACCTCCTCCTAGCAACATCTAATACGGCTGGTAAGGGCAAGGAAAATGCTGTATGATCCCTGTGACCACAATTACAAGGATTGCTGAATGCGTTGGAGGGTCTCATAGGACATTGCCTGTGATATGTATGCTAACTAGGACAGAGAAAAAATGTGATAGATGACATGACTCAGAATTGCTCAGAAAGCACAACTACACAGCACAACAACAAAAAAGCAGGAAGCAGATACAAGGAAAACGATGCCTACTGGAGGTGCATTAATACGCTTATACATTTGCTACAATATGCAGAAGCAAACATGTAAACGAAGACAAAACGCTAATGTGATCACCAAAACTGGGACATACAGGGAAATGGTTACATTGAGAAAGGGCCTACCTTGGAGGTAGAAGCAGTTTATAGCTCGGTGTTCTGTTCAGGTTGGCTGGAGTGGATGCAGGGAATTTTTTTTTTATTTTCAGTGAACTGCTCAAAACATGCACCTTTTTTGCTAGGTATAAATGGATCTGGGCAGCTTCAATTTTCTGACCTGTCTATTTTTTTTCTAACACACATATACCTACTATATATTTGTAGTAGATGTAGTAGCAGTAGATAGTGGTGTTGATGAATCTGACAATATTGTGCACCAGACAGGTCAATAAAGGGCCATAGAAGGCAAGATGGTTAATGTCTTCAGCAGTGGGATTGAAGAGGAAAAGCAAGGAGATATTAAACCTTCCTTCACCCTCTACATCGGTTTGACATGACACCGCGTTAGAAGTCAAACTTCTTGCAGCATCTACTGCTCCTTGCTAATCCTAGCATCCTAGAAGACATTTTATTGGCATTTCCTCTTGCAAAACCTAGATTGTGACTGGAGAGTGGCAATGTTGCTGGCATGGGTGGAAAAAGAATGAGAATCCCCTGGATTCAGGGCAAGATGTAATTGGTCTTTAGAGTTATTGCCGCCAAGCTGTGACAGTCTTTACTGGGAGAATATGGAGGCTGCAAATGCTGATCAATCCTGAAAGTTAAAATTGCCTGGATGTCATGCTGAGCAATTCAGCCTTAACCAGTTGACATCCGCGGTGTTAAACCCCCTTCCAATCCAGGCCATTTTTCAGTATTCAGCACTGCGGTACTTTAACTGACATTTATTACGTCATGCAACGCTGTACTGAAATGAATTTTATACCCTTTTTTGGGGACAGAGAGAGCTTTCTTTTGGTGGTATTTATTCACCACTGGGGTTTTTATTTTTTACTATATTAAGGAAAAATTACCGAAATTTTTAAAAAAAACAGTTTCCCCTATATTAAATGATAAAACATTTATTATTACCCAATTTTTTCGTAAAATATAAAAGACGGGGTCACGTCAGGTAAAAAGACACCAAACATGTCAAGCCTTAAAATTGTGTCCGCGTGCGAAACCTCAAAAAACGATAATACCCAAAATTGGCCATAGGCGACGCTTTAAAAGCTGTTACCGCTCATCAGTTTAGTGTTATCAGTGATTGATGGCCCTAAAATGATTGCTCTCA